GCCCTGAGGTTTCCCTGGGGCTGGTGGGACCAGCCCTCACCTGCCCTTCATGGGGCCCTCACCCAGTGCAAGCCCAGCCAGGGGTGGGGAAGAGCTGAGGGCTGTGGGGCTCTGGGGGACCGAGCATGGTGACATCTGCCTGACCCCAGAGATGACTGCACACCACGGCTCTCCCAGCACCTCTCTTTATTTGTCCGAGCACAGAGGCAAAATGTTACTGCTATGCAAAGCGCGGGCGGCATGGGGCCGTGGCTTGCATGCCAAACAGCTGCCGATCAAAGCTGGGCTTGTTCGTCCGGCGGCCCCCAGCAGAGCCGTCATTCCCCCTGCTCACTTTTCTGCCTTGCTCTCTGGCTCTCTCACCAGGTTAAGCAGCTTCTCCAGCTTCGCAATTTCCACCTCAGGGCCTCTCTTAACCTCCTGGCCTTTCTTCTCCTGCGAAGAGAGCAAGCGGGGCAAAGCTGTGAGCAGGAAGGACCACAGGGATGGGGAGGGGTCCAGCGTGGGGAGGGCTGCTGGGCTGCTGTATCCCAGTTCTCAGCCCTTGCCCGGGGAGGGGAGGGGGGGATGCACCTGCCTGTCCCCATGTTTCAAGCCCAAGGTGCCATGAGATGTATAAAAGCCCTCATGGACTGGTGAAGGGCAGTAAGGAAGGTTTTGGGTGGGGATGGGAATGGATCTGTTGATCCACAGCAACACAAATCCTCTTCTGCCTCTCCTCCCAGCCCTTCTCTGCCCTGTGGGACTGCACTGCCCTCTAAGCCCCCCAGCTTTTCCCCCAGGCCCCGAGGAGGGGCCAGGCATGCATGACTCCCAGGGCATTGACAGCGATGCAGATGTCCAAACCTCCCCAAAATGGTCCCACCGTGCCCATCCCATGTTGGTACTCCTGTGCAGAGACGGCCACAGGAGTGGGAATCAGCCATTTTGCACCCAAATGGCTTTTCTCAGGAGGGCAGGTGGGTGCTGAGAGCCCTTAACCCCGGGGCAGAGAAGTGAGTCAGGGCTCCCAGGTGAGCTGTTAGCTTCTCACTGAGGCTTTCCTGCTCCAGGCACAACCCAAGCATCCCATGGGACAGCCCTGTGCCTCACTGCACACCGCTGTGCCAGCCTCAATGCATGCCTCAGCGTGGACAGGGAGGACAAGCCCTCAGCACCCATCCCAACCCTCCCAGCAGCTCCCTCCCTGGCTGCTAGAGCAAACCACCAGTATCTTGGGAGAAATCACGTAGCACAAGGGAAATAAGCCTGTCCAGTTCAGTCCGTGCTTGCTTGGGAGCAGCAGAAGCTTCCAGGCCTGGTGGGGGACAATGTCCCTGCTAAGGGTACGAGTGCCACCCAGTGCTTCAGGCAGAGTGTGTCCCACCCACTGCGGGCTGCAACATCACTGTGCCACTCTCATTGGAGCTTGGGGGCTTTGGGAAAATGATAACCAGGTTTGGGCTCTCCAGGTGCATATCATGGCAGACACAGCTGCAACAGAGGATTTTTTCAACCCGCATTCAGCCCACTAAGCCCTCCTGTAGCTGAGCATCTACCCTGTGGGCTTCCTCCAAAACAGCATCCACCCAGTCACCACATCCTGTTGTTCAGCGATGCCTTCTGCTCACAGCCTGCCCCTTTGCCAGCCTGCCGGCTCTTGCCTCTAGATTTGGGGGGAAGGGGGATCCTTGCTCCAGGGCTGGGAAGCTCCTCTGTGTCCAGCATGGCTCTGGGCACCCCAGGTAGCAGATGCCAAGCACAGGTGAGCAGGAAGGCTGGTACCCAGTCTGGCAGGTGGGCTTGGGAGAGGTGGCAGTGGGTCCCTGACCCTGTGGCACAACAAAGGGGAGCATCACCAACTGGGCTTGGAGGCAGCCCATGGAAAACTGATATGCGGGCACTTCCCAGCATCCCTGAAGCATGGCCTCTGCATGGGGATGCTCTTGGGATGCCAAGGGAGCAGTGCACAGCTTCTGAGCAAGGAGGTCACTTGCTTTCTTCTCTCCTAGCTTAGAAAAGATCAATTCTC